TAACCTCTGGCGGATATGCGACCAGTGTTCAGTGAGCGTTCACGCAGCTCGGATGCCGGGTAATTTGATACGCATTCAGAACCTCTGGCTTTGCTAGGCGGCGGGTATCTATGCGTTCACAACACCGTTGCGGACGTCCACCGAAACGCACCAGCGGGTGGGCGCAAACGAGGGCGTGATCAGAGTCCACGCCCGTGCACTAAATCAAGCGACAGTTTTGGACACATCCTCTACAGCGGTAAGTGATCGTGATGTGATCGATTCGCGTCCATGGCTGGTTTGAGGTGGGTGGGCGCAGTGTCAGGCTTTTGAGGGTGTGTCGGAAGTTAGTTCCCGCGAGAAATAGACGAACATTTTCACACTGGTGTAGCAACCGCTCACCGTTATCATTACGGAACATACACCGTGTTGGTTGTTCAGATAAAGCTTATTCGTGGACAATTTTCCAACTTGGGAGTTCAAATCACTAGCCAGCATTACAGTACACGTAATTTTTCTGTAACGAAGGAGCGCGTTTAATTGGTGATAGAGGTAGTCTTTCACCGAGTGAGGGGCAACATTTGCGGACGCGTATGCCGCACTAACAAACAGGCACCGTTTGTTCCCGCACGGGTTCGATGCTCTGAACGGACCAGCCAATCTGACAGTGCAAATCCGGCTGCTCATTGGGATCCAAGCGATCAGGGCAGCTACAGCCCGGGGGCTCAGAACAATGCCCAGACTGGCATTTGAAGCAGTGTCATCGCCGGACAAGCGCAACAGGAAATACCGCCAGTGTCTCATGTTGGGGATCGCAGGGTAATCAAAAATACTCGAACCTTGCAGGCGGGTTTCTGATAAACAGCAGATATCGATCGACAGGGTCTTCAGTGTTCACGCAAGTGCTGTGTGTTGGAAAGTCTGTAGCAAACTGCGCACGTTGAGGAATACCATTAAGGGAGGATCGAGGACCCCAAGTAGAAACAGATGCACTGACGTTGTCCGCTTAGTTGAACATGGACGTATCGACTGGACCGGAGCGACGCCGTGCGATGGCGTGTGAGCTGACGCGAGAAGACAAGCGATTACTGAAGCAAAATGAGGACCGAGAATTAAGGGTTGAAAATAGGGAGGATAATAGTATTGGAACGGGACGATAAGGATAAGAAACAATAACAGGGCATCAATCAAAGACCGAGGCGCAAATGTCATCGTAGTCAGGATGTTCATCCGCTCAATCGCTGATGTTCCTGCATGCAATTCGTGGCGCATATCAGTGACATGAGCCCCAGGTATTGATACTAATCAAGATCGAAATATACGTGAGATGTGAGAAACGGACGTGAACTATAAACCAGTCATTCACAGATGCACCGATAGGTCCGAGGTAGGAGAGTTCAGAGATGGGTTGAACCTTACAGTGATCCTAACCCTGGAGGACATATACTATTTTCATCTCATTTTTGATATGCCAGGTCGGGCATATTTAGCTAACCCTGTTGCGCCTTCTTAGTGCGTTGGTACAGTAGGTGTAGCGGTCAATAGTGGTAGTACCTGCGTAGTAGTGGAGGTCACATGAATCACAGTCAAGTCCAGTAAACGCAAACAGTGGTATCAGTCATGCTTTACGATCGCAACAACCTGTAGGTGAGATTGCTGCCTACCGCATATTCGCTAGCTCCAAGCAACATCCGGAATTATGACTTGATTGGCTTCAGTCTAATGATTACTATCACCATCCAAGCCAACTAGACCCCAACAAGGTTGTGGCACTTTGCCCGCTATACGAACCAACACTTATCCAACAAACCAACCGACGCCGACCGCTTGCTTAAAAGACCTATACACTGAATCCTACCAAGCGACCGTCTGTCCACTGAAACGTTCTCGTTTTAACCTCCTGACGGCATGCATTAGCAGTACAAACCATGACTAACCGCAGGGCCGAAGCAAGCGCCTGTGGTCTGATCGCAGTGGAGTAATATGACTCCATCCAAGACCAATTAACCAAGTAGTCTTCCGCCTTATCGGCGCTCATGCAGTTCACCAGCAGTTCAAAGGGCACCGATTTCTCATTAGGTTGTACAGGATAGCCACAGTAACGAGGTGACTACATTTGAGACCGTCAAGTGACAGTCGGACCCAGTTTGCCACAGTTCATAGCTGACAGTGGAGTACTCGAAACAATGAAGAGTTAAAGAGAAGCACAAGGATACTCATGCACCAAAACCACCGGTCAGACGGATCCGGTAACAAATCGGTGGAAGGAATGGGCTTGCAATAACGTAGGTGGTATTAAATTGAAAAACTAGTTAAGCAGTTAAGACTAACATAGGGCCTGATGAGCCGACAAAGAAAATGGAGTGCCCGAAGTCGTAATGTTTCTCCATGGCCAAATTCAGGGGATTAATGCACGAATGTGTTCTGTGCTGAAATTTGGGCTAACAACTAAGTCCGTCGACAAAAAACCATCAATAGATTTATTGGAAGTTACCCATCCCCACGAATTGTCGGGAGTATGAGCTAACATGGGCTGTGTGATAGATGGCCAGGATGAGTTCAGTTATAGAGCACGCGCAAAAGTGTTGCTCAGCAACAGGAAAAGTTGTTACAGCCAGATGAGCATGAATAATAGCGCAAATTAACCAAAAGCGTACCACATTAAAAGCTCAGGGAAAACCAACTGCCTGGTAAATTCATAGTATGAAGCGAGCTAACTCTACAGTCTGAGAGTCGACAGAACTGGATCAATCCATTGTAAATACCAAGTTTCGCCTTTTCAAGATCATACGCATAAATGCGATAAGGTAGTATTGTAAATTGTCAGCAGGATGGCGAAAATAACACGAACTGGTGGGTGTAAAAACACGCAGACGTCTTCAAATGTTTGCGTTATCATCATGTATGAATCAGGATGCAGGCCTCTATCACTTGCGCAGGGTTTCACCAACATAATTATGAGGCAAAATGTTCAAGTTCAGAAACAGTAAAATTCTAATATATGTTTTATTGAGGCCTTAAGCGCTCAAACGGGCTCAGAAAAGCAGTGGGGAGGCCACAACACTACTGTTTCCGGTGAAGATAGCGCAGGATAGAGTGAGACATGATTTCTAACATGGATCTCGGTTCCTGTGTTATGGGGATGAGGGGGAAGGGCATAACCTTGATGACTGGGTAGAAGCAATGAACAACACGAATTCGAGCGCCTCGACAGAAAGAAACTGGCATATAAGTGAGGAATTCTAATGGAATAGGTAAACTGATTGGCCTACAAGGCAACCGACGTTGATATTGGATCAAGACGAAGACGATCATAGAGCAACATTAGAGTGAACCAGAGCGGGACTGTGAACAAGCCACATGCTAGGTCTCAGGTGAAAACCGTCGCGTTCCGACTTAACTCAGGAGGAAGGCCATATACTATAGACAGAGAGACCGTATACGGCACAGTACCGGAACATTAATTAAGAAAACAGCGTACCTTGGAATAAACTTGGAACTGACTGGGATTTCATAGTTTCCAGTTTTAGAATACAAATAGGTTTTTCTATGGGCTTATATTGTGGTGTTGCGTTCAGGATGCTTCTTCACCGCAGTTGGGCTAGACCACGTTATGACTATACGCCATTAACCTAATCATATCGACTTCGTTTACTTTGAATTGCTCAGTACTCTCTCGATCTCTCTGCCGCACATACTACTGCGGTCTCCTTCGTATGCCTAGTCGTGACATACTCTTGGTCCAGCGCAGTGTTATGCCTGAGGTGCTCTCAATGGGCGAGAATGATGCAGAGTTACTACGACGCTCAAACAAAGTACAAATCGAGCTAACATCTGTTCGTGTCTCGATACTTGCCCAATTGACAGATGGATCTTATTACATTTCTTCTCGTGTGACACCGTGACTTATTAGGGGTTGCAATATGAGGTCAATGTATCCCATCTCAAGTGTCTCTATACGCCCCATTGTACTGAGGCCGCCTTCAGGTAAACGCACTGAGATTCGGACAAGTCATCAAGGTTGATTCCCGGAACAGCAGCAATACGTTGTGACATCCGAATCGAAATGCATGGGCATAGGTAGTATTCTAGACACTGATGGATTGGTCAAGATATGCTAGCGGTCTGAACGAATGACCAAGGGGAAATAAATAGTAACACATGACAGACTGCCTGGTGGTTCTACCTCCCAGTTGATTCTAGCTCACCTCGGACAACAGAAGAGTATAACGGGTTCTGGTTTTACCTTACGACACGGATAGCCTGCAGTGGACATAATCGCACCATTTCCCTGCTAACTTGGAAACTTGCTTACGTCATCTCCGTCATTTTAGTTGATGTCATCCTTATTCTATATGCCGCATGTAAGTCGCGCTTGGGTACAGTTGCACTCCAGAATGAGTAAGTACTGACTTGGTGCAATGTGGTATCTTTATTGCACCTGCCTAGAACGGATGAGCCACAGGTAACCTAGCATTTTTAGGCTTATTTAACTCGGTTGTATTTCGTGATGACTTCACATGAGTTGCGCATTACGACATTGTACTCATCATGATCTATGCTATCCTATACTTGCTACCTTCTCAAGCGAAGTCTAGTATGGTTAAATACCGAGACAGTGAGCTACGGCATCTTCCTCTTCATAGTATTATTCGGCCGCGATTCATATCACTATGTGAACTACATGGTATTACTCACCATAACCGTAGCTTGACCAGCCGCTCAATGCTAACTAGCATGACGCCTAGAAAGCCGGTGCATCGCAGAATAATGGTTCAGCAATTGCGGAAACGTCGAACTATCATCAATGAAACCAGGTGCAACATCCTCACTACCTCACATTTGAATGATGCGGTACACAGATCAATTGGAATAGCTCCACGCTCATTGTCTCACCAGATTGATCTTTTGAAACTGTAACCACATTTTTCCCCTGACCCGGGTTATCTCATGCTACCATTGTTCTAATTGCTATAAAATGTCAAGCCAAATCTGTACTAGTGCACTTGACCTAAAGAAGCTCTTGTGTCAAGGGCGAAACGTTGTCACAATACAAGCCTATAGAAAAACCGATTTGTATTTTAAAACCTTGGAAATTACCATATCCAGATAACTATGGGACAATCGAGCAGAAGTGACGGACGAGAGCTATAAACTAAGTGCACCCCCACACGAAATCGCCTTATTGAGTGCAAGGCACGAATAACAATACATCGCAAAAGGTGGACCCAGGATGTCATCAAAAGAATTCCTCGGTCAAATGTACTCTACGCGTGTATCAGTTATGGACTACAGCCAAGGCGTTGCAGCGATAGGTGCGCAAAAGTATGAATCGGATGGATAACTGCCCGTTTGACCAAGAAAGTAGGAAGGCAGTGATGTAGACAAAGTTAGGTAGCAAAATAATGCAAAAAGATCGATCAATAATCTGTGACCTAAACGACGCATGAGTTAATCCACAAGGGGATTCATGGCAAATTTCGGCAGAGGAGCAAGACACCTCGTCAGCCATCGGATTTGAGTAGTGGAAAGGCGATGTCAGAAAAGGACAGGTGGACGACCAGGTTCAGTTAGCACACACATGTAAATCGAAACAAAAGTCAAAACAATTCGCATCCAGAAAGGGCAGCATCGACACCGGTCGTCAGTTCTTGTGTTGTTCACTACTGATGCGGTAGTTTTGCGTTGTGTTTCGATGCAGCATCGTTGATGAATAATGCTAGTTCGATGTCTTTTTTTGACAAACCCCCGGCGTCGTGCGTTGTCAACACGATATCCACCTAGATAAGAAAAGACAAGAAAACCGTGCAGAGGAAGCGGAAAGCATGGAGACATGAAGAACAAGCCCGTATTTGATGGTCAGGAAGTGATATCAATGGTGAGGGGATAGTCGGAATAGCGGCCAACGGCAAGGCATTGATACGCATTGATAGAGCAGTAGGTACTGTAAATTAGTCTCACAAGAAAACAATCATGCCTTAATGAGGATTGAGCGCACAGTGTATCTACTAAGAGAATTCGGTTGGGCTAAGTAATTCGGTGACCAAGGTATCTTAATTCGTCAATGTAAATGGAAAAAGTACCCTTTGCGTGCATGTAAATTAATAGACAATATCTTCGAGAGAAAGCGTATAGTCGGGCTAGGAACAACCCACTGGATCCATGGGCACGACTGAAGTGAAACAGAATGGCATAATTTTAGCGAGTTTATAAACGGCATGATGATGTTATATACCTAAGCATGACTTTGAGTGGAGGCAACGGTGTGTGCAGCTAAGGCACTAAACAGCATGCAGCCAAATGTCACCGCGACAAGCATGAATGTACACTTCTCCTTAAAAGCCAAAGTACTCACAGCAATCGGAATACTAGTAAATAGCTAGTACACGGGTAAAGTAATCAGAACGAGTCTCAATCTACTCGATATCTTGGAACATATGGAAATAATCGGCGTCATTATTTCAGAAGGCTTGTTACATATGACCGGTAAATACATAAACTAAGTAGTAGTAGTAGTAGTGGTAGTAATAGTAGTAGTAATGGGAGTAATAGTAGTAGTAGTAATAGTAGTCTATCAACTAGACACAGAGCCAACATAAAACCATGGATATCAGCGGATAAGCAAGGGTCATCGCGTCATAATCATCGTGGCATGCTAGTGCAAGATGAGCAACACACTTCAGCTAATATGCCGCAGGAAGAATGGAACATTTTGACAAAAAGTAGAACAAAACATTCTTACTTCGTTTTCACACGACGATTTTGTTTTTTTGTCATTTTCAATGTTTGTAGTATTAAACATGTGGATCAATACGATACTGTACACAATTCTTCCACTGATTCCGGTTGCGGGCCATGTCTTCAAGCGTGCTAAGCCATTAGCACTCCTCATCTTTGGGTCCCCATCCTGGAAGACGTACGGATCCAACAGCGGCTAGACACGACGTCAGCGATTTCACATGCTGCCGCCAAGTGGAAGGCTAACCACCACGCGGTTATCTCCAGACAGGTCCTTGACGAGCGCATAGAGCGCGACGCGGTAGACGCTCAGGTGCTATGCGTAGGACGTGACCGAGCCATCTTAACTGGTGCAACAAAAACAGTTTGTTGAAGGGAATACTCGTATTCCCTAAGATGTGATATCGAGCGTCGTTAGTATTAACTCGGTGTTGCCACCAAACACGAGCGATCCTCCTTAAGCAACCGTTATCGAACGCAGAAAGACGACGCATGTCTTTTAAGCAAATCGGCCAGGACTCGCTCCCATACAACAGTACTGAGCGAATTGATGCGATGTAAACGCGGCCCTTTCGTGAGAATGAGACGTCGCGACGACGCCACTAGTGCCCCAGATTGACAAATGATGATCGCCTTTAGCGATACGATGAGAAACTTCTTCGTTGATAGTGTCGTCAGCAGAAACACAGCTCCAAGTTGTGCACCTTCGAGAGTGAGTACGGGAGCAAGGGAAAGTCAATCCCTGAGCAGAACTATACACTTCCATGGGGTGAAGCTAATGACATACGTAGATGCCTCAAACGCCAAACGATACAGAATGAGTTGCATACCCTGAGGACCGTCACCAAGTCAGGCTATATCATCAGCATAATCCAAGTCGGTCGGTTATAAAGAAAGAACTAGCAAATATTGACGATGCGTCCAAAGTTGTAGCACAAACTCGGAACTGTGGAGCACGACAGATACATCAAGTACACTTTATCAAATACGGCTCAAGATTTCAGTTTTGAGGAAGTTTCTCGACTCTTGGAAATGTTCGGTGGTCAGGTATCGCGTTGTAATAATCGGTACAATTGTCGGAAGATGTGCAAAAGGGACAGCGACAGCCTCATTGCCCATGCGACAACAGTGAAGCCAGTGTCAAAAATTCAAGCCGAAATCTCTTACTGAAGCCCAATTTGAGTGTTTGATTTTGGTGTGCAGCCTGCAATCTTTTAAGGATGCCGAGATACGGACCAGAGTATTGGGGCTTTTGGAGCGAGACCCGGACGTCACACTGCAGGCTGTCGTTGCAGAGGACCAGAGAAGCATTAATTTGAAATACGATACAGCTATGATCGAGGACACACAGACGCATTACAATGGTTTCGCAGTAAGGCGGATTTCCAGGAACAAATTTCCAGCCATTGATCACAAGAAGCGCCCACATGGTAAGCCAGCATCAGTCTGTTGGCAAGGTGGTGACTTGCATTTGGTTAGATGGTGTCTATTCAAGAAGCATACCTGCCAGAAATGCCGTAGACGTGGGCACAAAGAAATCCCTTGCAGAGCCAAACCACCTTCCCGGCCAGTTCACGATAAGGTAAAAAAGATCTATGGCCATCTTGCAAAAATAGTGAACGCCAATTATACTGATGATAAACGAGATAGAAGAAAGCACATTACCACGAGCATCAATAGAACACAGGTACGCTTGCAGATTGATACCGCCTCAGATATCACGGCTATATCAAAAAGGCTGTGGAGGATTGTCAGGTCCCCCGATATCAAACCTACCAGTCAGCAGGCGAAGACTGCATCAGGTACGGAGTTGGAATTGCTTGGTCAAGTTGAATGTGAGTGTCGCTATGCCGACTTTACCGCATGGGGATCGCTTTTCGTCACGAGCCATCAGAATTGAAATCCCCTGGGTCTAGACTGGATTGAGCGTTTCAATCTGCTTGATGTTCCGATAAACCAAATTTGTGCGATTGTACAGATACACAAATCAACACCCCCCAAAACAGTGGCCATCGAGCGCGTGCGAGAGAAGTATGCAGCAGTCTTTCGGGAGGGCCTCGGTAAGTGCACCAAAGTACAAGCTTCATTATCCCTTAAGAACGATGCTGTTCCAGTGTTTCGTACGCGGCAACATCGATGGTTGACCAGGAGCTGGATCGTTTGGAGAGAGCAGGAGTTATTCACCCAGTGAACTACTCATCCTGGGCAGCATCTATTGTGGTCATCAAAAAGTCGAAAGGTCAAATTCGAATATGCGCCAATTTCTCAACGGGTCTGAATGCTGCACTGAACGCTCATCAATACCCCTTACCGCTTCCGGATGATTTGTGTGCAAAACTGAATAGCCGTAAATGATTCGCAAAACTGGAGTTTCCCTACGCATACCTGCAGATCGAGGTACATGAAGCCTCACGAAAAGTACTAGCCATCAATACGCACCGAGGCTTGTATCAGTATCACCATCTTCCGTTTGGAGTCAAGTCCGCACCAGCCATATTCCATCAGATCATGAACACAATGCTGAAAGATGTCGTTGGCGCAGCTGCATATCTGGATGACATCACTGTTGTCGGAGGCAATGCTGTTGGCCTGTTCGAAAAGTTGGATCGAGTTCCTGGCCGCGTTGAAGAGTATGGATTCAGACTCCGACCGGAGAAGTGTACCTTTTAATAGACTCAATTACGTTTCTCGACCTTATAATCGACAGCAATGGCAGACGTCCAGATCCAGCGAACATCGAAGCAATCAAGAAGATGCTGACTCCCAAAGATGTTGCAACACGGGTCCTTGCTAGGACGCATAAGCCATTACAGCCCGTTCCTGTCGCATATGCATCACTTACGTGGCCCACTGAATGAATTACTGATCAAGGATAAGCCCTGGAACTGGTCCGAAGAATGTCAGACATCATGTGAGCAGGTGAAAAGACTTCCATGTTCCAATCTTCTACTGACGCATTACGAACCTACCTTGGAGATTGTGGTGGCCGCAGACGCCTCGAACTATGGCATTGGTGCAGTCATAGCCCACAAGTTTGCAGACGGCTCAGAAAAAGCAATTGCACACGCAGCCAGAGCGTTGTTTCTCGCAGAACGAAATTACGGTCAGACAGAGAAAGAGGCCTTGGCGATAGTGTTCACAGTAAAGAAATTTCACAAAATGCTTTATGGGAGAAAGTTCACACTTCTTACTGATCATAATCCACTGCTGGCAATTTTCGGGTCAAAGTCAGGCATCCACTTCTAAACAGCGAACAGGCTGCAACATTGGGCCACCACTTCACTCGGTTACGAATTTGACGTGAAGCACATGACCACAAAGGACATGGGCCAAGCTAACGCGCTTTCTCGACTATTGGAAAATCAGCATCCCCAGAAAGAAAAATCAGTCGCAGCGATTTCCTTAGAGTCTGAAGTGAACCAAGTGCTGATGGAGAGTCTCAGAGGGCTTCCGGTTAATTTCAAAATGGTGCGTGATGCATTAACCCGAGATCTAATCCTTCAACAAGCGATTAAATAACACTACACAATGGTCCAAGGATAAACTGACAGGTGGGCTGCATAAATTGTTCCTACGGAAGGAAGAAGTGTCAATCGTCAACCGATGCTTATTGCTGGTCGAACAAGTTGTCGTTTCCTTAGAACTTCGCTACAGGGTTATACAGCAGTCACATCGGGGCCATCCGGGTATTAACAGGATAAAAATGAATGCTCGGAGTTTCGTTTACTGACTGAATATCGACTAGAAACTGGAGCACATGGCAAAGTCATGTCGGAGATGGGCAGTTGCCAGTAAGGCGCCCAGAAAAGCGGAATCAGCCTCCTGGCCTTTGACAACGACGCCGTGGGGGCGTGTGCATGCAGATTTCCTTGGTCCGGTGAATAGGCAGCAGTATTTGGTTGCAGTTGACGCCTTCAGTAAATGGCCCGAGGTATTTTGCATGGAGCATGTGACCAATGGCGCAACGATCAGTTTACTGAGGAAGCTTTTCAGCCAACATAGAGTGTCAGGAATGTTAGTCACAGACAATGGGTCATAGTTC